GTTCAGTGTGGAGTTTTAGGTTATTTATATTTTAATGACCTCTCGCCTTTCATTCTAAAGTCAAATTAAAGTTGAAGATTATACTAATAACTTCACATGGCCAAAACTGACGAACGCACGATTCCACTGTGTCGTGACACATTTTGTCTCGAGAAAGTAGGGCGATTTTCTCTCAGCACACGGTACTGAGCCTAGGACATTCAAATCATGAGAGAAAAAACCGTCAATGTGCATGGAAGTCATGAAAGCACAAAATAGTTCGATATTTGAACTAGAGTTTTCTTACAATGTTTGCCGAGGATGCCAATCCAAGTGGAATTTTTCCTGACACCATTCTGATAACGTCGGTCGCCTGATAAAACCGTGAATTCCACAAATTTTCGAAAGTCGTTTTTTTGCATATTTTGATAGTGCTCGGTGAGACACATGTCCCTGTAAAACAATTTTTCAATTATCTCAACTCAAACGTGCAATCTGACGTAATAAGAAAATCGTGAATAAACACCGTGCCCCCAAAGTCGCCTGATGAAACCGTGAATCCCACACCTGTGTGGAATTCACGACCTCATCAGTCGATTTATGACTCGCGGGGCTGACCGTTGGTGACGTGAACTCCTCTCCAGACCATTAAAATATGGGCGATTGCGTTGCGCAAACACAATGGTCAGTCAGTAATCACAGTTTTCAGGCCAAAGATTATAATTTATGATGTGGACTGCATGTGTTTTGCAGGAAAACCTCTGACATAATTAAAATGTGTGTTTCGTAGATGCAAGACTGGTATTGTTTCACAACGACTGTCAAATTCGAATGTGTAATGTGTGTGCTCTTCTAGTAGTGGGTAAAACAATTTTTCATCCTGCTTGTTTACAAATTTTTAATTTTTTTTAAAATAACGTAGTCAAGTATAAATTACAAGTTTATTTCTGTGTTGTATCACAACCCAAACTTGTTTTACATTGAAAGCTCACTGATTTGACATCAGAGTTCCCTAACTAGAAAAGAAATTTTGAGAAGCCGAGCAATGTGAACCACTTTGGGCATCAAAGAAAGCTACAAAAAATACCGCACGGAAATAGTAGAAGAACCAGACTTCAATTTTTTTTTAAAGTGTCATTCAAAGTACACGATGCGTTGGAACAAATCAACGGTGCTTTTTAAACCTCAGAGAGAGAGAGAGAGAGAGAGAGAGAGAGAGAGAGAGAGAGAGAGAGAGAGAGAGAGAGAGAGAGAGAGGGGGGGGGAGGAGAGAGGGGGAGCAATAAGCAATACAAATCAAGAGATAGGTCGATTGACAAAACTAATGAACTGAAACCCAGATGTGATTGCTCAACCAAATCAAATGACTGCTCACTATTAAAAGACAAAGACAGAAAGACCTGTGAATGATCTTCTCAACACGAAAGAGTACACTTTAAATGCGATACATTAAGTTGAAAGACGCACACTTGGGTTTATTATCTGAACCAGAGTGACCAGAAGATCAAAGTTTGCAGGATGTTGATATCTATGACCGGGCTCACCCATTGCAAATTGCTATAGAAGAGCCCATGCCAGTTTCATCATCACCTGGCTCACCCTGTACGGACAAACACGTTCTACTATTCTCTACCCTGGGCTAACTTCTTCATATTTTTCAAATGTCTTTCCACTTTTCTGTTCTTCATTCTTTGCGACTTTTGTACAGGTTCAACATGGCCTTCCCTTGATTGTGTAACCTGTTGACTCAAAATAATTCTTTGTAATGTAGCTGCCTGATTTTCTTATGGTACACCCAGTCCAGCCCATCTCCATAGCTTTCTTCTGTCTGCAAATGTTCTGGTCATTACTTCCTCATTGGTGACTCTGCCTGTCCATCTGATCCTGGGGAACTTCCTCCGGCATTTGTTGGTGACAACCTGGACCCTCCAGTACTTTGTAAAGAGTGCTTTAGAAGAGTCCACCCAGCTGCACCACCAAACAATCCACAAGGGCCGTGCAAGCCAAAGAGTTTCTGTTAACATCTGTGGACATGCTTCTGAAGGTTCCCACTCACTATTGCCAGCAAAGCTCTGGAAAACTGTATCTTGATCCCTGATTCTGTAATCTGTCGGAGATTCATTGGTTTTACGAAACAGCCTGCACAGGTCAGGGACAATCTGCCTTGTATGCCAGGCTACTCAAATATGTGCTAGATGAAAAGACCATGTCGACCTGTGAGCCAAAAAAGGAACAATGTGAATTGTGCGTGAGTTTTGAGTCTTGACAACGTCAGCCAGACTAAGTGGGAATCTCACATGTCAGAAAAGAAAAAGTCAAAGAAAGGGCACGCCATGGATAAAACCTCTGCTCTTAGGCAAGAAAACCTTGTGATATTTTGCATGAATCTTCAGGGTGCACTTTTGTCCCTATGTCTACCAATTCCTCCAGCTCTTGATCCAGAAACATGCACATAATCTTCAATGCGACCTCGTGTGATGCCATCTATTACTTATTGACACAAGGCACTAGGTGATTTGATAGCAAATGAATTCACAAGTAGTTTGATGGACTTTTTTTCAAAGTGCTCATATGCATAGAAGGTTTTAACAATACATTATTATACAGCTACGATGTGTGTGTGTGTGTTTGTTTGTGTGTGTGTGTGTGTGTGTGTGTGTGTGTGTGTGTGTGTGTGTGTGTGTGTGTGTGTGTGTGTGTGTGTATTAGTGCAAAATTGCATCTGTTTCTAATCTCGTCAGTGTCTTTTCCACTAAGAGCAAACACGAATTTGTAAACAAAATCTTATTAGAGGCCACACTCATATGCAAGTAGAAAGTATGCACGGCGTCATTGAGCGGCGGCTTTAAATAAAAGACATTTTCAGAACTGCAATTTTCATAATTTTTTCAACGAAGACAATATAAAGTGAAATTTGCGGATCATATTATTTTCCCCCATGATTTTTTTCAAAATTGCTGTCCTCAATACTGTCAGGTCGGGTAGACAAAAAGAAGACCGAGCAGTTAATGCAGTATGAAGCCTCTGATGTACAAGGAGAAATTCTTTGCAAACTGAACTCTAACAGAGAGTGGGAGAGTCTTCTAAAGCAAAGAGACATAGAAACCTCAACAAACAGTTCCCCGCCACTGTATCATTCTCCTCATAAAAGGCAAAGAGTATTTTTCAGGATCTGAGGGACAAAAAGAGTAAGAAAATGAAAGATGATCATTCCGTCATTCACGGGGTATAAAAGTTTGACATAAACCAAGTTCTCAACCCATCCACCACCACCCTGTCCTAGCCCAATAAAAAAGGATATACACTTACACACAATTGGACAAAGAATGATAGGAAAAGAGAAAGCACGCAAATGAAGGAATATGATTTCATAAATTACATACAATATCACATTCATGTAAGAATGAGAGATGTTTATAGTGGTAAAATAATGAATAGCTTTCTGTTTCACTTAGTCTGTAATGTCATACTCAGTTTTAAATTGATCTTTTAAAGCCTTTCTTATAACAGTATTTCGTGCTTTCATATATTTTTAAACATACCAGGGCCTCTAATGAGAGAAAACACTCTGCCTCATAACCGTGAATACAACACCGCGTTCCATAAAGCCTACTGATGAAATCGTGAATTCCACACAGGTGTGAAATTCACGACCGCATCAGGCGAGATTCGAATATGAAAATCGTGAATCCCACACTTTTTCGAAAAAATGACCATCTACGGAAAAAAATGTACTGCAGTATTATTTCTGAAAGGTAATAGATCAGATCTATCCATTTAGTTTATTTCTTGAACGCCAAATGACGGAGAAAATCAGTTTTTTCCATCTCCTGTAAAATTTGCTTCGTGTGGAATTCACGATTTCATCAGGCGACCGACGATAATTAAAAGGTGTAGAAGTAGATTTCAACATTTTGGACCCCACCCCCCCCCCCCTCACACACAAACTCTCACACATACACACACACACACACACACACACACACATATATACATATATATATATATAAAATAGATCTAGATCTAGATCTTTTCTAAAAAGAACGTTTCATTAAAGTTTCGCTAATAATGTCATGGTGATGTCTTAAGAGTGACTGGTCACACGGTGGGGGAAGAATGTAGCTGAGCACACTACTTCAAGTACGTCCGAAAGGAGGGCTAAAATGTAGCCTTTTGTTCTTGTTATTTTGTAAGTGTTTTACGGCGCTCGCAACTGCATAATGTCATATGAGCGCGCGGGACACTATATACATATTTCAGTTGGTAGGAAATTTTGAATTTGCCCTGGTGGTTGCCGAAGCCTACTCTTATCGATTTTGGACCAACAATGGATTTTTAACGTGCGCAACTTGCACACGGGACCTACTAGAACGTTTACCCTTGTCCGAGAAGGCTAGGAGTAGATCTTTCCTACCATAAGATCAGTTGAGTGGCTGAAAGACAGCAGTAAGAAGGACGCACACGTGGAGACGAAAGCAGACGACAGAACATTGTTAAAGAGCAGGAATAGATGTGAAAGGAGAAAAATTTTACAGAGGAAAGAGCCCGTCGCTATCCGGATTCGATCTCGGAACCTATTGAATGAGAGTCAAACACCTTGACCTCTAGACCACGAAAGTCCCCAGTTTTACTTCTAAACGCTTTTTCAGTTTAAATGTCACCAGTAACCTTGCTGATGACGTTTTGTTTCATACTTCAAGGTGAGCAGTCTTTTGGACCAATTTCGTGTAAGTATTGTTTCGACAACACACAACTAAAGTTTTCCTTTAATGTACGTGGATTCTTTTACTCTCCCATCGACATAATTTAGGTCATATAAGAGGCAGACTCAGGGCCAAAGCGGGCTGAGGGGAATAAAATATTATGTTTTCCATTGTAATCAACATTACAGAGTGGGGATAAATAAAGTGTTATTTCTTAATTTATATATTTATTATATTGTATCTTCTCGTACATACTCACACATTCATTATCATATATATATATATATATATATATATATATATATATATATATATATATTACGTCTCAGGCTGAGCACTCACGCAGAACAGCGACCGGCATGTTTTGTAGAACTTAGAGGACATGAAAATATAAATGAAAAAATTGGCGCTGGAGTTGAGAGCAAACAGCATTTCTTCCATGTTCACCATGAAGTACAACGTTGGACCAAGAAGGTTGGAGCTGGTCACGAAAGTGTACACCGCCAATGAAACAGTGGCTAGGTTCGTAATGACGTAGACAGCGCAAAGCGCTAACAGCATACGAGTGACCTTGACATTCACTTGCTGCTGGCTGGAGGAGCTAGACATTGTCTCCCGCTGTTTGCTGACCTGTCGTAGACGATGAACGATGACGGCACAGCAAGCGATGACCGCTGTGAAGGAGACGGGGCCGCGTAGAATGCCCATTACTAGTATGTTAAAGTTGGTCAGGCCCTCGTACATCTCCAAGTAGTACCTCGCGAACTGCACCGAAGACACGGTTGTGTTGAAGGCGGGGTTGAACGACCAGACAACGCCGCTGTAGCCGAGGTATGGAGTCGCCGTCGCCGCCATCACTACATACAGACTGAGCAGCATAATCATCACGCGACGACGAGAGAAGAGAATCTTGGCCTTGAACGGGAAGATAACGGCGACGAAACGCTCGACGGCGATGACGATAATGTGGCCGGACGAGATGAACATGACGAGCCGTGACGTAACGATGACGTAGGCGGTCATGTAGGCCTGGTGGTTGAGTCCTGCGACCGGGTCGAACCGGGCTATAATGCAGTCCATTTTCCGGACCGTGAGGGTGAGGAGAAAAGCCAGATCGCAGAGAGCGAGGGACAAGAGGATGGTCGTGTTACTGTCCGAGCCCCTGGTCTTGACCAGCACAATGACAGTGATGATGTTGCAGGCGCTGCCGATCCCGGCGATGATGTGTATGAGGAAACAGTTGATGACCAGCTCGATTGTTTCCATGACGAGGTTTGTGAGGTCGCTCAAGTCATCATCTGCTGCTGCTGCTGCTGACGTTAATGTAGTTTGTTGGGTGGTGCTCGTTGTGTTCATCATTACATCCCCACCCACAGAATCTGGTAGATCCAGGAGGCCGAAGCTTGGAGACATTCTCCGAGCATGGAAAGTTTGGTTAACTTTTGGAAAGAGTTTTTTGGGATGTCTTTCCGCACTTCTTTACGAGTTGATTGTTGTTGTTGTTGGTGGTGGTGGTGGTGGTGGTGATGATGATGTTTTTGTTGTTGTTGTTGTTGCTAATGATAATGATGACGATGTTGTTGTTGCTATTTTTATTGCTGTTGTTGTTGTTGTTGCTTTTACGGCATTTCCAACAGAAATAATACATGTATACTAAAGCTCTCAACCATAAGGCCGTGAGTTGGAGTCCCGGCAGGGGCCCAATGCTATCTATGTCTTTGGAAAAGGAAGTTTACATGAATTCTCCTCACATCACCCAGGTGGGAACGGGTACCCGGCTATAGACATCAAAAGATCGCGTCAGTTCGTTTGTGCTTTTGCTCGCGTAATCCAGAGCTTGCACTGTCTGCTTCCTGGGAAGCCGAGAATTTCTCTGGAGCTTCTACGACCTTCTGGGGATGATATAAGAGTTGTAAAGAGAGACAAAAAGAGAGAGACAGAAAGAGAGAGAGAGAGAGAGAGAGAGAGAGAGAGAGAGAGAGAGAGAGAGAAAGGGGGGGGGGGCAGGAAGCAAAACAAAAAAGAAAAAAAAATATGTTTGCGAATACAACAGAGCCTTCATTCTTTTCCGTCTGAGAAACGAGTGAATTTCAAATACATAATTTTTGATAATTATATTCCTGGTTACAAAATGTCAATATAAAGAGGGGCGTATTGGCCTCAGAACAGAGACGTATGAAAGTGTAAAAAGTGTAAGACAGGATGAATCTATAACTAAACCCTCTTTCTTCAAATTAAAATAAATCATAAATCAGAGATTCAATTTGCAGAACTAGACTGCAGAATTACAAAGAACAAGCTTATGAATTATCCTCAGGCAGTATTATATATACATATATATAATATAATAAATTGAATTATATAATATAGTATTTGTATAGCGAATTTCCCCGCTCACCAGAAAGCTTTATCATAAATACATCTACTTCCTCGTGTTCATGGCTATTAAAGACATGTAATTTCCATGTATTGTAGTTTTGTTTTTGGTTTTACAAAAACAAAACAAACCATTTTTTTAAACTAAAGAAAGGACATTTTAAAATACTGAAAAATGCGACGTTTATTATTTATCGATCCCTACGAAGAAAGAGTTGTGTAAATGAAGTAAATGATTTGTACAAACAAATCTTACATTATATCAAATCAAAACCTATTCCATCAGCATAATAATATAATGATATTATCATACAGACGATAAATGCATTGACTAGTAACCCCCCCC